TTTTCCAGTTTGTCGTTCTTCCGGTGTTTGGCCAACTCAGCATCCTTCAGTTTTTCTGACCATTGAACCTTCACCTTTAGAGCTTTGATTGTCCCTTCTCGAGTAAGAACATAATTTACTCGTTGTTTCAACAGAGTAAAATCAACAGGCCCATCGAAAGGTTCGACAGAAACATTCAAACTTTTAACCAATGTCATTTTTCAAGTTCTTCGATTTTCTTCTCTTACTGATTAGAAATCCCTCCGCCCCAAATGTAACTTGGCTCCGAAACCAATTTTTTGGATTTAAAGAGTGTAAGACTCTTAAAATACTCCCTCCGTCCCAGAAAGAATGCCACGTTTACTATTCTGGCCTCTCGATAACTTTTGTTTATTTACTCGTTTTGGTTGACCATTTGATAAAATAAAATATTCTTGTCGCATCTTGTTTTTTAGAACTTTTCATATACTTTTGAATGGTGTAATTTTTACTTTTTATTACTCTACCAATTTGAAATTAAAGTGATTTTAAAAGAGATGATATTTTGCACGTCGTTCGAAGTGTTGCAAATAAATTAGGACGGAGGGAGTATCAAAAACGTGAAAAATAAAAAAATACACTACACAAGAAGAAGATATGAGAAAAAATTATATCTTTACTATTTCAGAACGATACACAAAAAACTCTCCCTGTTTACAAGCGCTAAATACCAGACACTTATAAAAAGACTTTTTGCACCCTACACCCGGATGTATTTTTTGAGTAACTAAATAATAGTTACTCCCTACACTCACTCACACAATCTTGGTGATATCTTGTGTAGCACCTCTCTCTTCACACTCTTTCTCTCTCTTAGCCGTGTGTAAAACCCACCCCAAATCTAAGGACTACATTCCTCTTATAAGAGGTAATGAGAAACAAAGAAAGAAACCCAACCCCTTATTTTTCGTACATCACCAAAAACAAGGGAAGAAGACAACCTCCACTTCACATGCATTGGTCCAATTCCAACCATCACTTCACATGCATGATACAAGCATTCATCCTTCCTTTATTTTCCTTTTTTCAATTTAATGAATCAATCTCAACATTTACCAAATTTATGAAGACCACGAAGACTTTTTATGCATATAACTCTTTTATTTATATCAAACCTTTATTTATGATGTTATTTTTTTTTGAAGTGTTAATTATTAGGGTGGTGCTAGGGTATCCCGAGTCTTGTACCCTATTCATACACCAAAGGATTCACAGACACACATAGACACTCATTGTCTGTGAATGCACAGACATTGAATATCTATGAGTGTCTGTGAATTCTTTGGTGTACAATTAGGGTAGACCTCATTATTAACTTTGATAAAAACTTTTAGAAAATAAATATGTGGGCACCTTAATGCCCAAATTTAAGCTACTGAGTATAAAACTTGTTTTGGATAACAAATGTGATGGTGAAGGTTGTCACAAATTTGTCGTCACAAGTTATCTGTGACGTCGGCCTGCGTGTCACAAACCACAAAAGAGCACCTTGGTCGGCTTTGTGTTGTCATTTCCGGCACTGTTTGTAGAACCAGGGACGAAGACTAGATCACAACGTTGTTTCGGATGCTCAAAATGGCAAAGGCGTCGGCCAAAAAATTACTTTTCGGGTATCCTCATTTTCTAGTAAAAACTCACAAGTCTCATATTATCTGAAATATACTTCAGAGTATCTTCGATTTTTTGGTAAGAACTCTCAAGTCCTACATTATTCGAAATATACTCTAGGGTAATTAAAATTTGTGATATTATATTCAAATAGTATATTCCCTCAATTTAGGAGTTCGATTAAAAATTCGTTTACTTTGATAAATTAAAGAACTTTATTTAAATTTAACAAAATAATAATTATTGATCTAAAATTTCCTACTTGCCAAAGTAATAGGACTTTCAATCATAATCGCCAAATAGACGGAATATTGTACCCTCGGAGTACATTACCACAAATTTTAAAAACACATGGAATATGTTTTGGACAATATGGAGCCTGAGATTTCTTACCAAAAAATCAAGGGTACCCCAGAGTATATTTAATATAATGTGGGACTTGAGAGTTATTACTAGAAAATCGAGGGTCCCCTGGAGTTATTTTCTGGTTGTGGGCTGTCATAAAAATGTGTCAAAAAGTTCTTTGGGACGGAATTTTTTACTAGTTGTTGTCAGAATTTTGGTCACAAATGCTCAATTTTTTGTAGTGGTGAAGTAACACAAATTCTACTATGATTAGAAAGAGTCTGATAAGGCCATTGGAAATGGGTCTAACGCCGGGGGTCATCAACCGGCTTTTGACGCCAGTTGAGCGTTAAACACTGCCCCCATGGCGACGTTATACAGGCGTTATGGCCCTTGCGTCAATATTTTGACGCTGCATCCGGCCGTTGCTTCTTCCTGTTGACGGAGCCCCCCACACACACACACAATGGCTAAAATAGCCGTTAAGCCAAAAAAAAATCTTTCTATAAATTCAAACCATCTCTCTCAATCTCTCTATAATTCTTTCAAATGGGATCATCTTCATATGATGATGAAAAGAGAGCTCTCATTTTTTACTGTTTCGCCACAGGTTGTTATCAATGATGGCAACAAGGCAAACAAGAAAAAGTAGAATCCTCCTGACGTCAACGCTTAAACCGGGATTGGCGGCTGCGCATGCTTCCCTTTTCAACGATTACTTCAATACTCCGTGTGTTTATACACTAAAGATTTTAGTAATCGTTTTTGGATGAGTCGTCCTCTCTTTTACACATACTCGACGATATTGAACGTGAGGTGTCTTGGTTCACCCAACGCTTTGATGCGAGAGGCCGACGCGGATTTGGCAGTGTCTAGAAGTGCACTGCCGCTGCGCTTCGTCAGATGGCGTACGGGACGACGTCTGATATGTTCGACGAATAATTGAAGATGTCGGCTCAGAGCATCAGGTCCTGTGTTTATAAATTTTCAAAAGCTATTATTCGAATTTATCATAAAAGATATTTACGTAAGCCTACAGCGAGAGACATTGAGCAATTACATTGCACGCATTGGGAATGGAAAAATTGTCCCACTGCGTGGCATGGTCACTTATCCCTGGGTGATCATCCCAAGCCTACTATCATGCTCGAAGTTGTGGCTTCAAATGACTTGTGGTTTTGGCACGCTCTGTTTGGTGTCGCGAGCTCGAACAACGACGTCAACATTCTCGATCAATCACCTGTTTTTGACGATTGGGTTAATGAGAGCGCACTCGACTTGTCTTTTGAGTTTGGAGGGACGCTTTACAAGCAGGGATATTATTTGGCCGATGGAATATATCGAGATTATTCCACGGTTGTCAAGTCTCTCTCTGAACCAATGGGTATTAAACGCCGGACCTACAAAAAAGCTCATGAGGCGGCAAGAAAAGATATCGAACGAGCCTTCGGGGTGTTGAAGGCTAAGTGGCACATTCTAGATTGTCCATCCAAATATTTTTCTCAAACAAAAATGAGGAATATCATGTCCGCATGCATCAATCTTCATAATATGATCATAAAGGACAACGGATTTGTGATTTATCATTACAACCCAAACGAGGAGGTGCCTATGCACGAAGAAGTCGATGAAGAAAAGAAACGAAGAAACCGCCAAGAAATTTGAAGCCGAGAAATTCACAATGCACTAATGGCGCATTTAATCGAACATATCTTCAGTCGCTCAAATAATCAGTAATATTTTAGTTGTGTACTTTTTTTATTCAATCAATGTAATTTTTTTATTAATGAATGTAATTTTTTATTTAATGAATTTTTTAATTAATGAATGTAGTTTTTTTAAAAATGAATAATGTAACTTTTTTAATGAATGAATGTATTTGTTGTTCATGAATGTAATTTTTTAATGAATAAAATTAAATCATTAAATTTTATTAATTTAATTTTAGAAAATCTGTGTTTAAAATATTAAAAAGGAAGGTTTGAAGCCTCAGAGTTTCAAGACCATTTATAGTGCTCTAAAGGGCTGGATTGAGGAAACAGCAGACAGAGATAAAGGGATTTTTCTGCATAGAAAAGTCTTGTGCTTTCCGCAAGCTGTTTATGATAATATCTGAATGAATCATTAACCAAATACAGAGTAATGTTTTTCTCGATTAATAGGTGACTAGAGTGTAGGTAGAATGGCTATTAACATTCAGAACCTACTCCCACCTTCTTGTATGAGTTAAATAGTCTTCTGTTCTCCTAAACCCCTATTGCCGCTAAGTACAGTAGTACACTTCAGGACAAACCTCAAATGTCCCTAGCAACAAGGCATACAGCTTATGTTAGGCTTCACCAAGACTCCAGCTTCAGAGTCTTGAGTACAGTTCAAGAATGGTCTATGAGTAATAAAGTCATGTTCTCTTCACATAATCTGATTGGAATAAATTCTAATCTAATCTGGTCTAATCTGAATGTAATATTTAAAGTTATTTCTGATCTAACCTAATTCCAATAAGAATAAGTAATACTCCTTCCGTCTCAGAGTATTCGTCCAATTTGACTTTTTCGAGTCAAACTGGACGAACTTTAATCATTAATTATTCTCAATTTGTATTGCATATTAATACAATGAAATAAATTTTTAAAAGTTTTAAACAAGTGAAATATATTAAAATTGTTTTTATACTAATATACATTGTAGTTTTTACTTAATTATGGCTCAAAGTTCATCCAGTTTGACTCGAAAAAGTCAAACTGGACGAATACTCTGGGACTAAGATAGTGAGTGTAAAAAAAGTTCAGGAGAACATGGTCTATTTTTAGGCCACTGCTCATCGCGTAACAAAATGATCTCTTAGCCATAAGTCCATAACCACCGGCATAGCCTAACCTAAAAAAAGAAAAAAAAGATGCATCTAACATAGAAGTAAAGGTCGAACTTATTAATGTGTAGTTCACTAGCAACCATTAAACACAGCAAAGCATTCAGAAACAATGTTAATACAAAACCATGGTTTTAGACACTCAACAAGTCATAAACTACCACAGGAAGAACATTTATAAAACCTATTCACCATTTCACCCACAATCAACATAGTCAAGGGGAAAGGTGTTCATGATTACAAATTCAATATCTAGAACAAGATGCTGAGATTAAATAAAAGACTAAAGGTTTGAACATACTGAAACTCCAAGTACTGAAACAATCAAAAATAACAGCATGAACAAAATTAGATCCAGCAGCTTTTGAACAATAAAATGCTGAATAGTAATATATAAAAACGAACATGACCAGGAGGCGACCTTCACTCAAACGGGTGAAAGTTTATTGATTCAGTTCTTCACGAAAGCAACGGTGGCAACACGAGATCCTACGGATCCTCCAAACATGAATGTTGGATATGATCGAACATGGTCAAGATAACGGAACGGAGGGAGATCCCTTGGGGGCTCCAGCTCTTGACTCATCTCCAATTCTTGGCTGCTAGAATTTCTTCTTTGGTTTAATGTAGACACCTCTTCTACCAATTCATCTTTTGTATTGTTACATGATGTAATTACTAATAACCCACCAGGAGCTACAAGTTTTGAGACAGAGTCCCAATACATAATCCTTTTGATAGGACCGTCGGGATGCAATCCAATTGCATCTAAGGTGCCTTTATCCATAACAAGCAGAAACTTCCTTTGTAACTTTGTTTCAAGAATGTCATCAACCAAGAACCTAATATCAGGAAAACCATCCCGATCGGCAAGATTTCGTGCAAGATCAATGGCTCCTTCACTATAATCAATTCCAGTGAGATCATAGAACCCCTGTCTGGCAAGCTCTTGAAGAAGCAAGCCATTTCCAGTCCCAATATCAAGCACACTCCATTTTGACAAATCTTTTTCATGAAGACCAACCTGATCTGAGCTAGTATTTCCTACGTGATTTGGAGAGTGACCTAGGGCAAAATCAATGCACAAGTTTTTGGTCCAGGAACAAACAGTTTCCATTACATCAGATCCAAACCAAATTTCCCCAGCATGACCATGTTCTCGAAAATTTGACAATTCATCAGCATATGTGGCATCCCAATGAGATTGGAAACCAAGAATCGAAGATACTCCGTCTCCGTCCTGATCTTCTTTGTCAGAACTGTAATCAGAGGTGACTCTGTAACTCGCCGCGGAAAGAGCTTCGGCGGCATCAGCATGACGCTGCTCTTCATCAAGAGTACTCCCGTACTCACTCTTAATAGACCAGGAGTCCGCAGCCACGGAGCGGTCGTCATCGGACATCAACTCCGACGCTGCTGCCTGTCTGACCAGGGTGACCTCGGATTCTTCCATAGTCAGTTTCATTCCGGCCATAACAATAGATCAAACCCTAGAAACTGAGGCGCCTTCAGCAATTACGCCTGGAAACAAAAGCTACGAAACCCGATTTTATATATATATATATATATATATATATATATATATATATATATATATATATATATATATATATATATATATATATATATATATATATATATATATATATATATATATATATATATATATATATATATATATATGATAAAGCTACTTGTACCTCAACATTTTGTACCCGCAGTTTTGCACCAACATTTTGTGTTGGTGTAAAACTAATTTTTGTTAACGCACCATCACTTTGTGTCCGTGTAAATTTTTGTTAACGCACCAAAATTTTTGTCGGTGTAACCCATCAAAATGTTTGTATATAGCATGGTCCATATATATATGTCATGTTCTCTTTACCAGATATTATAAAACTTCATCCCTAAATATTTGTCACATTTGTATTCCCGAAGCAAAATATCAACTTTTTTCAATTCATTTTATTTACATATTGGTATAGAAATAAAAAATAAAATTTACATATCAAAAAACTATATGAAAAGTTCTTCGAAATAAGAGGTGTCACGAATATTTTATTTTATCAAATAGCCAATGAGAACATAGAAATAAACAAAAATTCCCGCGACTGCTGAAAAAACAAACAAGAACAACAACAACAACAAGAACAACCACTTGAATCCCACTACATTAGAATCTTGGGAGGGTGTGTGTACACAGACCTTGCCCCTACTCTTTACACTATATATATATATATATATATATATATATATATATATATATATATGTGAGTAAATTCCATATTTGCTCCTTTATAACAGGGGGGTTTCCATATTTAGTCCTCTACTATCAAATATTACCCTTGTAGTCCTTTTTTCAAGGGTGCCTTTCCACAAATGGTATTTTTTGATCTTCTGCCATGTTGGTGTTAATTTAAAGGCTAAAAGTATAATTTGACATCAACATTATATCTAGTGACGTGTTCTGATATTGGTTAAGCGGATAACACAAAAATAATGACTCTGATTGTGGCTAGAATTCTGATGAAAAATCACATTTGTAGACTATGGTTGTAGTAGAAAGCGATTGTACTTAACAAACGACGCAAACGGAACAGTCTTTGGAATTGTGTATGCCAAAAAAATGTATTATCATTGTGAAATTACAGTTTTAGCCCTTAACTTAACACCAACATGATTGAAGATAAAAAAAAGACTATTTGTGGAAAGATACCCATAAAAGAAGTATCACTAGAGTAATATTTGAAATAGAGGACTAAACAGGGAAACCCCCCTGTTATAAAGGACCAGTTATAGAATTTACTATATATATATATATATATATATATATATATATATATATATATATATATATATATATATATATATATATATATATATATATATCTGTGTGTGTGTGTTTGTGTGTGTGTCTATATATATATACACACACACACACAACCTCCGTCCCTGAGTATTTATCCAGTTTTGACTTTTTTCGGACAACTGTTTTCAACCTTTGACCTATAATTAAATAAAATATATATTGTATTTTAATGAAATAAAATAATATTTTGAAAATATTTGATATAATAAATCTAAGAAAACTCTTTTTGTGTCAATATCTAATATCATTTTTATTTAATTTGAGGTCAAAGATTGCCAATTTTGACCAAAAAAAGTCAAAAGTGGACAAATATTCTGAGACGGAGGGAGTATATATTTATTTTTATTTTTTTAACCCTATGTGTGTGTGTGTGTGTGGATATCCGATCCAGTGATCAGGCAAGGACAGCCCGATTGCAATTCCATGGCCCGATAACTAAATAGGTTTGATCGCAAAGCTGGAGGCGAGACCCAAAAATGGGTCGGGATGATGGGTCTGACTGAATACCCAAATTAGATGAAATCCCCCAGATCGTGGGATTGAGGGGAGTTGATGACTGGTTTCCTGCCATAATTGACGCACGATAGACGGATTGCCGATAATATATCGCATGAAATATTACATGTCTTGTATATGGTAGAAGTAGACTATAAATACGGGTAAAACCCACGATTGTAAAGCGGGCTGAAAAAAGCTAATAGAAAGCTATTCTTATTACTCCCCTCAAAGCTATTCTTATTACTTATTTGTTCTTCGCACACCATAGTTGTTGGTCTAAATTCAATCATAGATGCTTTATTGAGAGATTGGATCTCCTTTTAAGATGATGACTGCACACCACTTTGCTTCACCCTTCTCTTGCCCGAAATACACAAGAGAAAATATAAGATATTTTTCTTCTTCATTTCTCTAATTGTTCTAAATTCAAGTAATAATCTAGGAAGAGATTACTAGCATATTCTCTTCTTAGAACATCCTTCGTTGTTCGTGTGGATGCACTAGAGTTTGGATCGTTTTTTACTGTTTCGTTGCACCAATCCCTTCACCTACATCATCTGATCTATTTTCTACGAGAAAAAGTATTTTTTCTTAACAATAATTTATAGTTTTTGTAAGAGGATCTTTGGTGGTAACAACAATTGGATATAAAATTTTGTTTTCCGTTGTGCTATGCATGCGTGGTTACCCAACAGTGGTATCAGAGCCGCCTTACGAAACTATAAATTTTGTAGATATGTTATTGTTAAGGTTTTTGAAAATTGATAAATTTATTCCAGATATGTATGAATTTTCGAAAATCATCCAAAATAATATAAAGGGTCAAAATATGAGTATGGACTTTATATCATTTGAAAGCATGATTTTTGGAATTAATTTTGGATTATCTTTTTGTTTAATCTATTAAGTATAGTTTTGTAGCTTAATTGATTAAAATACAAAATGAATACTTAATAAATTGAAAAAATAATTTTAATCATTCTGGAGTGTTAAAATATGATTTTAAGCATTCTGGAAACATAAAATTAAATTTTCAAAATGATAGTCCTGATTTTTTCTATTAATTTGATTTTGTAGTTAATTTAATTAATCACAAAATAAATTCAATATAAATATGGAAAAATGATTTTAATTATTCTAGAATGTTAAAATACGGCGCATTCTGGAAAATTAAAATAAATTTTCGGATTTTATTTTATATTTTTCGGATTTAATAAGATTTAAATTAAATTAATTAGATTTAAAATTTAAAGTCCAAATATATACTGAAATTAAAATAATTATTTTGTGTTTATTAATAATTCAATTTCGTTAATATCAAAATTACCATGTTAATTAATAACTAAATATAAATATTTTATTTTATTTTCTGTAAAATTATTATATTAGAAATTAAATCAATATATTTCAGAAATATATTTTTTCTGGAATTTTTGGATTTATGAAAATGATTTATAGAAATTATTTTTAGTTTCCTTATTTAATAATTGATATATTCAAGAAAATAAAATATATCAAGATGAAAATTTAGTTTTCAATTTTCCATATCCTAGTAGGAAACAAAGTCTATGGTTTTTTAGAATATTTGGAATATTAATGATTAATTTTGGCAACTAATTCAATTCCTACAAAGATAAGTATGGAAATTTAGAAAATAAAATTTTTAAAAATTTTGAAATTCAAATTCCATGATCACTTGGGAAACAAAATATTTATTTTTGGAAAAGAATGATTTTTGGAATTTTTAAATATCATGAATTAAGTTTTAGAAATTAATTTGGTTTCCCTCAAATTAAATTTTAAAAAATCGAAATAATATTTTATAAAAATGAAAATTTGGTTTTCATATTTGTAATTAGACAAAACTATGAGAAAACATCATTTTTTTTGAAAAATATTGATTTTTGGAATATTGGGAATATTCAGAATTAATTATGGAAATTAATTTATATCTTTACTGCATTAATTGTGTAAATCCGAAAATTATAATTTATGAATTCTTTAAATTTTTATTTTCATATTAAAAAAATAGAAACATACATTCTGGAATTTATTTATTAATTTTTGAAAAGTATAAGTATTTATTTCGAATTAAAAGCCCAATTTCGAAATTAATACCTATATTTACGATAATATATTATTTTAAAATTATGGAAATTTCAAATTTTTTTTTGAATTTTCTGGAGTTTTAAAATATTTTTAATTAAATTATTTAATAGTTTATTTAAGGGTCTTAAAATTATTTTTTATTTTCTCGTAGAATGCACTAGGTCTATGATAAGCGTAGTTCGCCTGGTATTTGCTTAATTGTTTATATGTGATGTATGGTTGTTATGTATGGTGTATGGTTGTGGCTTAGTATTATTATTTTTAAATACGACCTGCGAGCCGTGCTTTGTCTCTTTATTTTTGAATGTAAATCTCTCTCTTGAACCTCACACTCCTTGCATGTAACGCAAGGATTCCTTTCTTTGAAATTATTTAATCGTTATATTCAAGAAAATATTAGCATGGTCAGAGGTCTTTGATAAAGAAATAATCACTAAAAAGAAAGAAGATGATGGGCCAAAGATAGAGATCTCAAGAAATGATGCTACCGTTAGTTTTCTTTAAGAGCCACAACATATCATATTTATTTATTTATATATAAGCATGTTATGTATGAATGTATGCATACGCTGGTGCATGTGCGCGGTGCTTGCCATAGGTGAGACCTCGTTTAAATCCCTCGTTATATTAAGTCTGTGCCTTCCGACGACGCCTCACTCATCAAAGCGGGACGCCTGGTTTACGTTTGTGAGGCATAAAATCCACAACAAAGGATAGTGACAGACCTCGGGTTGGACTTAAATAAGTCATGGTAAAAGGATGAATGATTTAGGGGCACACCGTTAGATTAACAAATAAAATCAGTTAATCTAGCCAGAGTTGCAAAGTGTTGCGATTGAAAATAGTTCCTACCTGAAATAGTTTAACTATAATGCAAGATGCAAAGCACAAGATGAAATAAGGATCTACGCCCTTAATAAAATTTTCGTAACACCCTAATCCGTCTAGGTCTGCAGCCCCTTTCAGACGAAAGTATTAACTTGGTAATCATAAAAATTTAAAACATTTCAAACACTTTTATTTATCACAAAAATATTTTTCATAA